TAAACCGGAGAAATTCTCAATTGTTATTTTTAATAAACCAGAGAAATTCTCAATTGTCAGATATTACAAATCGGAGAAATTCTCAATTGTTATTTTTAATAAACCAAAGAAATTCTCAATTGATATTTCAATAACAAACTAGAGAAATACTCAGATTTTTCAAGAATTTCTCTGGTTCTGGTAAGTTGCCATTGTTATCTCATTCTAATGTTGCTTACATATTACAATGTGGAATTTTTCCAGTTGAATTCAGTTGAACAATGTTGCTTACCTAATCAATCACAATGATTTGGATGTGAATGAGAAGAAAAGTAGAGAAACTCATCCAGAGAAATTTGGTCCAGAGAAATTTCTCTGGGCCAGAATTTCTCTGACCAATTTTCTCTGCACTGAAATTTCTCTGGACCAAATTTCTGTGGACTAATTTTCTCTAGACTGAAATTTCTCTGGACTGAAATTTCTCTGGCTCAAGGTTGAGGGACCTTAGATATTATGAAAATATTGTTGAGGGACCTTAGACATTATGAAAATATTTGGTGTCCTTTATGCTATAAAATCATAATACCAGGGATCTTAAAAAAAAAAACCCCAAATAAAAATACAGTGTTAGTTTTTTAAAATAAATTAGAATAGTGGTATATTTTAATAAGTATAAAGTCATAATTTTTTCCCATAAAATTGTGAATTGTCATTTCTAAAAGTTAAATTCATTTCCTAAATTTAGATTAATTAAATTTTCTCAACTTTATTCAAGTCATTTTTATTTTGTAAATTGTAAAAGGAAATTATAACAAATGCCCCAACACAATACATCTTATTCTAAGTTATAATTTAATACTTACAAACAGATTTTAGAAGTATTATTACTCTAATTTTAAGACAATTAATTTTTTAATAACTTATTTAAACTATGTTTACAACATAAAATATAAATACGACAAATAATTTACAGTAAGCCTACAATATAAAACTATAAGGAATAATACCAAAATCCAAAAATAAAAACTAAATAAATCACTTATAAATAAGTGTTTAGAAAGTGTTAAATAAGCATATTTTTTAATTTTTTATGAAAAAATATATTAAAAAAAATAGAAAAATAATGTGTTAAAAAAAATATTTTTTTATAGTTCCCAAACAATTTCTAGATTTCTATGGTTTTTTTTATTAGGGTAAATTACACTGACACCCCCTGAAGTTTAGGTTTATTACAGTTTTTCCTCACCTTTTGGAAATTACATCTCCCCCCTGAGGTTTAAAGTTTCATTACAGATTCCCCCTTAGCAATTTAATTTTTCTAAATACCAATTTTGCCCTCATTGGGTAAATTACATTGACACCCCTCACATTTTAAAAATTACAATCCGCTCCCTAAAGTTTAAAGTAGCATTACCAATTGCCCCATCGGTTAGTATTAGTTGAAAAAAAAAAATTCATTGAAAAAAAATTAATTGGAAAAAAAATTATTTGAAAAAAAAATTAATTGAAAAAAATTTTGTTAGTAAAATTTTTAAATTTTTGTTTAAAAACCAACGTAAACTCATTTTTTGAATTTACTTTTTTCCTCAAATTTACAAACTGAGACAACCATTTATAAATCAAAAAAATTATCAAACAAGTTTTTATGACAGTTTTAAAAAATTTTGTAAGTATAAATTAAAAACTGAAAACGAAAAGGTTACCAAACATGCCTCAGATAGTAAAAATATCGTAAAATTAACAAATAATTAAAAAAGTTACCAACGTAAGAAATGACTTATCAAAAGATTCTTAGGCTATGTATGGTTTGATTTTTAGAATTTTTTTAAAAGAAATTAAAAATTAATTTGGTTAAGAAATAAAAAATAAAAAATAATTATCATTTAACGGTAAAAATAAAATTTTTGTAAGTATATACGTATGGTTGTTTCAATTTAATTTGTAAAAATTATTTCTAACCACTCGAAAGATAAAAATTATATAAAAATGGTAATTATTTTTTATTTTTTTATTTCTTAACCAAATTAATTTTTAATTTTTTAAAAAAATTTCTAAAAATCAAACCATACATAACCTAAGAATATTTTGATAAGTCATTTCTTATGTTAGTTACTTATTTAATTATTTGTTAATTTTACGATATTTTTACCATCTGAACCCTGTTTGGTAACTATTTTGTTTTCAGTTTTCAATTTATATTTACAAAAATTTAAAAAACTGCCATAAAAACTTGTTTGATAATTTTTTTGGTTTATAAATGGTTGTCTCTGTTTGTAAATTTCAGAAAAAAATGTAAATTCAAAAAATAAGCTTACGTTTATTTTTATACAGAAATTTAAAAATTTTAGTAATAATTTTTTTTTTCAATTAATTTTTTTTTCAATGAATTTTTTTTTCCAACTAATACTAACCGAGGGGGCAATTGGTAATACTACCTTAAACCTTAAAGAGGAGATTGTAATTTCTAAAATGTGAGGAGTGTCAATGTAATTTATCCAATGAGGGCAAAATTGGTATTTAAAAAAATTAAATTGCTAAGGGGGGAAATCTGTAATGAAATTTTAAACCTCAGGAAGGAGATGTAATTTTCAAAATGTGAAAAGAGAAACTGTAATAAACCTAGACCTCAAGGGGTGTCAGTGTAATTTACCCTTTTTATTATTAGCAGACTAGCAGTGTTCTCTAATCATATTAGCAGTGCCTGTCACGCGTGGTATGCTTTCACTCTCTGATTTATTAGTACTTATTTTTAACTTTTTTTTTATTGTACCACTCTCAACTTATTGAAAAAGAAAAAATCTAAAAAAGTTTATATGATAAGCTTGATAGCGACTAGGGGTGAGAAGCGGATATATTGATCTGTCAAAATCGACCGAATCGAATCAATCCGCCGTATTTTGGACTGATGCGTGATGACGAGTGGACGATTGCGGATTGATTTTTTCCAATCCGCCAATCTAGCGGACGGATGGTGGATTTGAGATTCTTTTGGCCACAACCGAACCGCCAAACCGCAAGCACCCCTAGTAATTTATAAAATTTTGTGTTTTTAGTTTGTTTAAATATTCTGTTTGTGTTTTCAATTAAAAAAGAGTTTAAATATTCTGTTAAAAAAAGTTTTCAACTTGAATATCTTTTTTGAATTGAAAAAAATAAACGTATTATTTATCTATATTTTTCGATTTTTAAATCTATCTCTAAAAATAATAAATAGAAAATATGATATATGTTGGTTGGTTTTGTTTTCAAAAACAGATATAGATATAACAATACAGAGACATACAATCTCTACTATTGCTCTGTTCATGGTTTTGGTGGTTTGAATATTTTATATTTTAAGAACCATAGATTGTAATACTTTATATGGATGAGGCATGCAGTGATTGTGATATTCTAAAATTTAAAACTTTCTTGTTTTAGATGAGGTATGCAGTGATTGTAATATTTTTTTAAGTCATTGACTGTAATACTTTCTTATTCTTTTTTTGAGGAAGTGCACAAGTTGAATTATATTGAAAATTTATAAAATTTTAAACCGCCAAACCGATTCACATCCATCCGCCAAACCGCCAATCCGCTCAATCCACATCCGCCGGATTGGCGGACGGATGCGGATTGATTTTCTCTAATCCACCAATCTGACAGACGGATGATGGATTGGAGGTTCCGTGGCCGCAACCGACCCGCGCCCACCTCTAACAGCGACACCTTGAGTACAACTTATAAGATCCAATAAAACGTCTTCAATGATTTTTCCAAATTTACTTTAATATCATTATAAACTGACCATCCTATCCTTGCCTAGATTGAGAGATTCACATGCATGGTGTTGAGTGAAATGACAAATTTAGCCATCATGTAGAAATTAATCAATTGGTTGGACCTCGCCACATCAAACTTAAGGTTTGAAATGATGTCTAACTTTGCACCATCCGACCAATTTATATTAGGGATGTCTATGGATTAAGTTTTAAGCAACAGTTACGTATGATTTTACTGTTTGGTATAAATAATTATAAGTTAAAAGTTGGTAATTAAAAATAAAAGATAAAAACATCTCTCTTCTAATTTCTAAATAACCAATTTTTTTTTTTTAGTTTATTTAAGCTAAATCTACAATAACTGTACCAAACAGTCTGATATTGAAATACCAAAGCTTGCGTCATGAATTGATTTTTAGAAGGAAAAAAAAATATTGAAAGGGTACTCCAGAACTGTTTTTTAATACCAAAAAAATTGTTTTTCAAAAGCAAACGTCATTTTGTTTTTTAGACTTGCATTGTTGATGAATATTGGATTGTAATTTTGAATGAGCAGAAATGAAGATTGATTCGAATAGTGGTGAGAATCTTTTATTAAATGAGAGTGAAGAAGTTGAGGAGTCTAAGAGGGGTATGTGTTTTAGCTTAAAGCAAGAAGTGTATACATTTTATGCCAAAAATGCTAAACATGTTGGATTTTCCATAGTTTATAAAACACAAGTTTGTGGCGATAATGGAGAATTAAGATATTTTGGTATTGAATGTTCTCGATCGGGAAAGAGAACCAAAAATCAGGAGTAAACCCTCTAAAGCCATCTCTGTCCACAAAAATTGATTGCAAAGCAATGGTACGAGCGACCTTACGAAAGGATGGGAGATTGAATATCAATAACCATATATTTTAATCAAATTTATATTACACAAAATGAATAATTATTCTTAAAATTATATTTGTCTTTTATTTTTTTAAACAAATATATTCCAACATATAGTTAACAACATGTTTGAGATAATAACTTTAGAGAACTCAAACCCTTAAGGAAAATAATTATTGTGAAAATCTAAAAATTTCTGAGATATTGATTTGAGATTATGTTTCAATTTTTACACAATAAATAATAATCTCAACCAAACAATTAAAGACAAATCAACACAATAATTTAACGTGAAAAAATCACAATTGGAATACCTCCAATTGTTAACCATAGTTAACCTTGACCATAATCATGACTTGATTCCCACCGACTCACGTCATTTGCAATGAATAAGAAAATTCTTACTCATGTGAAGCAAAGATTAGAAATTAATGATCAAGTAGGGATTGGGGTGTCTAGGAATTATAACTCAATAGTTGTTGAAGCTAGGAGTTATGAGTCATTAACATTTGATGAGCGAGATATGAGGAATTGCATTGACACAGCTAGAAGATTGAGGCTTGGAGAAGGAGATGGCAATGCACTTCAAAAATATTTTTTGAGGATGCAAGCACAAAATTCGAGTTTCTATTATATGATTGATGTTGATACTGACTTTCGCATTAGAAACTTGTTTTGGGCAGATGTAATGAGTCGGATGGCTTATGAAGAATTTGGAGATGTTGTTTCATTTGACACAACTTATCTCACTAACAAATATGATATGCCATTTGCTCCGTTTGTAGGAGTTAACCACCATGGACAGTCGATTTTGTTTGGTTGTGGGTTGTTATCTAGTGAAGACACTGATACATTTGTTTGATTATTCAAATCATGGTTAAATTGTATGTCAGATCATCCTCCAAAAGCTATAATAACTGATCAATGCAAAACTATGCAAAATGCTATAGAAATTGTCTTCCCAAATACTCGACATCGATAGTGTTTATGGCATATAATGAAGAAAATTCCGGAGAAATTGAAAGGCTATTCCCAATATTAATCCATGTTTGATTGCCTAACTGCGTATGGTTTTGAGAAGCAATTTCAGGATGCCTACACTAATGCAAAATTTAAAGAAGTGCAAGTAGAGATGAAGAGACTACTTTATTATCCGCCGAGTCTGTGAAAGAGGAGGGTTCAATTTGCACATACTTTGTGAAGGAAGTCGTCGCAGTTTTTGGAAAGATGAAGCATGTGGACTTTATTGTGTATTATAATTCGACTGAAGTTGATGTTCAATGTATGTGTCGGTTGTTTAAATTTAGGGGGTATCATGTGTGCTCACTCACTCGTTGTGCTCATTGCAAGATGCATAAATAAGGTTCTAAATAAATTCATTCTACCACGATGGAGAAAAGATTTGGATAGAAGGCACACATGCATCAAAACCACATACACTGGCTTTGGGGATGATTTCAATACAAAGGTTTATGATAAGATGAACAAAAAATTGATTGGCATTGTACAAGTAGCTAGGAACTCTGAAGACAAAATCAAAATTATTGACTGTGGGTTGGATGAAATCAAGGCAAGAGTGATGAAAGATGATGAGGGTGGTGGGAGTAATGTACCAGCTTCTAGTAGTAATGTGTCACCTATTACTAGTAATGTACCATCTTCCTCGATTGGGAGCATTAATAGAAAAACAATCAGTAATACGAAGTTGCTTAGTCTTTTGGTTGCTCACCAAAAAGGTCATCCAGTTACTAAATGAAAGGTCGCCAAAGTAGATCAAATAGTGAATCGGTTGAAAACAAGCAAAACAAAACAAATTAAAGGTAAATTTCATAATATTCTCTATTTTTTTTTCAATATTGTATCATTTCTCTCTATTGAACTTATCATTTATCTCTACTCATTCATCTTGGTTAATATAGGATACTAAGGTGCTTGGAGCTGAAGCTCAAACTAGTGCACGTAGAAAGCTTTATCCTTGTATGGTTGGAATGCAAAACAGTATGTATGTGCCAATACGTGTACATAATATGAATTTACATCGATCAGTTTATTTTATTTGTCAATAATGCATAGTAAACTGTTTTTTTCATGTCATTGTAATTGAATAGGGAGAAATGGTAAATGCGATTGGAGGCACACCCGGAAGTATGGACATTATGAGAAGACAAAGTTTGATGACTGCTCCAACCCAGATTTATGGAGTCAACACATCTCTTACCCCATCGGAATGTATTGGAGGCACACCGGGAGTTATTGGCATGGTGCGAACTCAACAATCCATGAGTGCAATGAATCAAATTTATGGAGTCCTACTGTCTTCTTTTGTTGACTTCAATGTACAAATGGACTGAAATGAGTCTCATTTTCGTTAGTTGAAAACTTGTAATTTTAACTTGGAGTTTATTTTGTAATAGGAGTAATTTAATGCATTTTTCTTTGTTACTTGATGGTGCATAATTTATGAGATTTATAGAAATTTGATGTTGCTTTGTTGTTATATTTGCTGTCTTGAAAAATCTGTCTTCCAAAACTGTGTTCAAAAACCTGTGTGAAAAAACCTGTGTTGAAAAAGCTATGTTCAAAATATCTGTTAAAAAATCTGTGTTGAAAAACTTGTCTTCAAAAACCTGTGTCCAAAAATCTTACTTCAAAAACTGTGTTCAAAAACCTGTGTAAAAAAATCTGTGTACAAAAAACTATGTTCAAAATTTCTGTTAAAAAATCTGTGTTTTCACACAAGTTTTTGAATACAGTTTTTGAAGCAAGATTTTTGGACATAGGTTTTTGAAGATAGGTTTTTCAACACAGATTTTTTCACACAGGTTTTTTAACACAGTTTTAGGAGACATATTTTTCAAGACAGCAAATATAACAACAAAGCAACATCAAATTTCTATAAATCTCATAAATTATGCTCCATCAAGTAACAAAAAAAGTTGCACTAAATTACTCTCACCACAAAATAAACTCCAAGTTAAAATTACAAGTTTTCAGCTAACAAAAATGAGACTCATTTTGGTCCATTTGTACATTAAAGTCAACAAAAGAAGACAGTAGGGCTCCATAAATTTGATTCATAGCACTCATGGATTGTTGAGTTCGCACCATGTCAATAACTCTCGATGTGCCTCCAATACATTTCGATGGGATAAGAGATGTATCGAATCCATAAATCTGGGTTGGAGCAGTCATCAAACTTTGTCTTCTCATAATGTTCATATTTCTGGGTGTGCCTCCAATCGCATTTACCATTTCTCCATATTCAATTACAATGACATGAAAAAAACCAGTTTACTATGCATTGTTGACAAATAAAATAAACTGATCGATGTAAATTCATATTATGTATACGTACCGGCACATACATACTATTTTGCATGCCAACCATACAAGGATAAAGCTCTCTACGTGCACTAGGTTGAGGTTGAGATTGAGCTTCAACTCCAAGCACCTTAGTACCTTATATTAACCAAGATGAATGAGTAGAGATAAATGATAAGTTCAATAAAGAGAAATGATACAATATTGAAAAATAAATAAAGAATACCATGAAATTTACCTTTAATTTGTTATGTTTTGTTTTGCTTGCTTTCAACCGATTCACTATTTGATCTACTTTGGCGACCTTTTGTTTAGTAATTGGACGACCTTTTCAGCGAGCAACCAAAGGACTAAACAACATCGTATTACTGATTGTTTTTCTATTAATGCTCCCAATCAGGAAAGATGGTACATTACTAGTAATAGGTGGCACATTACTAGTAGAAGCTAGTACATTACTCCTACCACCCTCATCATCTTTCATCACTCTTGCATTGATTTCATCCAACCCACGACCGATAATTTTGATTTTGCCTTCAGAGTTCCCAGCTACTTGTATAATGCCAATCAATTTTTTGTTCATCTTATCATAAACCTTTGCATTGAAATCATCCCCAAAGCCAGTGTATGTGGTTTTGCTGCATGTGTACCTTCTATCCAAATCTTTTCTCCATCATGGTAAAATGAATTTATTTGGAACCTCATTTATGCATCTTGCAATGAGCACAACGGGTGAGTGAGCACACATGATACCCCTAAATTTAAACAACCGACACATACATTGAACATCAACTTCAGTCGAATTATAATACACAATAAAGTCCACATGCTTCATTTTCCCAAAAACTACGACGACTTCCTTCACAAAGTATGTGCAAATTGAACCCTCTTCTTTCACAGACACGGCCGACAATAACGTAGTCCTTTCATCTTTGCTTGCACTTCTTCGAATTTTGCATTGGTGTAGGTATCCTGAAATTGCTTCTCAAAACCATACACAGTTAGGCAATCAAACACTTTTGTTGAGTTGAAGTCAATTTTCTTCTCTTTCTCTACCTTACTTCTCAAGGCATTTTCATATTATTCAACAAATTGCTTTAATGTAGTCTTCGGGTTGACATATTCATCAAAAAAGACATTCATGCTCTCACTTCGTTATGTAGTTAACATGCCAGCCCAAAAATGTCTTTCATATAGACAGGAACCCATTGATGTCGCTCATCATATAATACCCCAACCATTGATTCTCATAAAGATTAAATTCTGCAATCATCCTTTTCCATCTCATCTCAAATTCATCTTTTGTGAAATTGTCCTACACTGCATTTTGCAAAGCCAACTTCATTGATTCATATTGGGAATAGCTTTTTAATTTCTTCGGAATTTTCTTCATTATATGCCATAAACACCATTGATGTCGAGTATTTGGAAAGAATTTCTATAGCATTTTGCATAGTTTTGCATTGATCAGTTATTATAGTTTTTGGAGGATGATCTGACATACAATTTAACCATGATTTGAATAACCAAATAAATGTATCCATGTCTTCACTAGATAACAACCAACAACCAAGCAAAATCGACTGTCCATGGTGGTTAACTCCTATAAATGGAGCAAATGACATATCATATTTGTTAGTGAGATAAGTTGTGTCAAATGAAACATCTCCAAATTCTTCATAAGCCGGCCGACTCATTGCATCTGCCCAAAACAAGTTTCTAATTCGAAAGTCAGTATCAACATCAATCATATAATAGAAACTCAAATTTTGTGCGTGCATCCTCAAAAAATATTTTTGAAGTGCATCAGCATCTCCTTCTCCAAGCATCAATTTTCTAGCTCTGTCAATGTAATTCCTTGCATTTCGCTCATTAAATGTTAATGACTTATAACCCCCAGTTTGAACAATCATTGAGTTATAATTCCTAGACACCTCAATCCCTGCTGGATCATTAATTTCTAAGCTTCGCTTCACAGGAGTAAGAATTTTCTTATTCATTGCAAAATGATGTTAGTCGGTGGGAATCAAGTCATGATTATGGTCAAGATTAACTATGGTTAACATAAATCTCCTATCCTTTCATAAGGTCGCTCGTACTCTTTCTTTGCAATCAACTTTTGTGGACATAGATGGCTTTAGAGGGTTTACTTCTAATTTTTTGGTTCTCTTTCCCGGTTGAGAACATTCAATCCCAAAGTTGGTTGTTTTTTTTTTTTTTTTTGTAGTTGATTTGATGGTTGTTGTTGTTGTTGTTGTAGTTGATTTGATGGTTGTGTAAGAAAATGTAAAATGATTATAAATTGGATGCGATATTTTATCTTATTAACTATTTTAATCTATTTTGTCTTTTAGTAGACTATTTTAGCCTAATAAACAAACAAATATAATAAATTTCACAAATTTAGCATAATTATACTAATGGCCATTTTTAGAAAGATCAAAACAATTAAAACTAAAACAAATGATGTGTGGATACAGGGCTAAGCAATGTGAGATATATTTTAGTGTAAAAGATGTGATAATATCGTCACTTGATTTA